CTATCTAAATCCCCAAAGCTTCCTGAGTGCACAAAGTCAAACTAAGATCTCTCAGGTCCTTTGAGTCTTGCAAAACTAGCACTAAAAATGTCTCTGAAAAAAAAATAAAGTGTTTTTTTTGTGTGTGTCAGGACAAAAAAATATGCCACTTTTATTGAAATCAAGAGAGAAAAAAAAGGTCTTTTAATGAGTTAGTATCTTATTTTACATACATTTGCAGTTAGGTATGCAAATTACACAGAATAAATGTACAAACTTACACACACGTTTGTACTATGCCATAAAAAATGGCAAAAAATTCCTTGCACGTATTAACAGAAATTTGTGGGAATTGAATAGTCATGATATTTACTACCAGAATACAGAACTAAGTGGTTCAAACTCCCATTTCAAGGGTGTTTAAAGACTGAGTGCAACTAATCTTACAGATTTTGCTCAGCTGACATCAAACAGATGTAATGATGCAAAAACCCCCATCATCACCAGTATTCAGTGGCCTGTCATTAGTAATGATAGCAGTACAACTGACATAGCAGGGAGGTCAGATTTTTCTCATTTCTAGCATATGTCTAGAAGTAGCCACTATGAAAGTCCCATCTATTCCACTACATCCTGAAGAACATAAACCAGACATAATGGGGCAAACCAAAGGCCCAACTTGTCTCTGTTTCACCTCCAGCCATGGCCAAAAGCAGATGCTTAGAGGAGAACAGAAGAACAGGACAAGTGTATACTTCTTTTTTTCCCCCATGTATTTCATGTCTCAACCAGCTGTGGATCAGAAACTCACGGAGACAGACACAGTTTGTATTTAGTGAGTAGCAATGTTTTTTCTCTTCCACCAGTTTGCCATGTCTCCCCTCATAAACTTTTATTGACTATAACGTCCCGCAACTAGTTCTGTGGCTTGACTACATGTTGTGTGTGGAACGCAGCACATCCTTTGGTTTGATCTAAACCTGGCTCCAACTAGTTTTGTTTGCTGACCTTAGTTCTTCTGAAGGATGAAACAACAAACAGTTTGCAGTCACTCCCTCCCTGCCTCTCACTGCTTTACAGATTCCTACTTCATCTCTTTTACATGAGGAGTCCCAGCTGACCCAGTTGTTCCTTCTCTGAACCCTTTCCAGATCTAACATACCTTCCCTGAGCTAGAGGGGAATCAGAATACCAAACACATTGACACTAAATGGAGGCTCTGACAACAGCCCTGTGGAAAGTTCCTTCAGCGACATCTGTCTACTAAGCAGAAGCAAGTATTAACTAGCACTAGCCCCCGGAGAGGCTCTTTTCTCCAGGCTACCACTCTAACAGCACTTAATTCCCTTAAAAAATAAACATGAATATTAACAGTTGGGGTGTATTTCAACAGCCAGCAAAATCAGCTGGGAAATCCATACCATCAGCTTCCCTAGTATGGGACTTGGCATGAACTGCATATGCTGTCACCCTGAAAGACAGTCTCACAGGTAATGAAAGGACCATCAAATCCTATCCCAGCTCCAGGACACTGAAGTCAGCCTGTTCCAGTCAGACTGCTTACTGGAAACTTTGCTGTTGTTGCCAAGGCCAGGTTTATGGAGGACAGTGAAAGCCTATAGCCAAGCTAGAAGTTTTAATGCCAGCTATGAAATTAAGCTGTCACCTTAGAAAGAAGCATATATTTATTATACATGCAGGGTACTTAAAAGCCTATTCCCTGTTTGAGTTAATGGGGGTTGGAGGCACAGAAAGATTAAGAAAAAAGGTTTTCCTTCTTTCACTATATTAAACATTTAGAGAGAAAAGAACATTTAAGACTACAAGTCAGTGGGACACAAACAGCCTTCCCAGGACCAACAATAATATTACACCCCTTTTTTTTTTAAAGGGACTGTCACATTCCCCTGTTCTCTGCCATTCTTTGACTTAAGACAACCATCAGCAAAGAAGCTGAGTAACACTTGCCAGCTTGCTGTTGCTGGGGAGCAATACCTTTGGGAGACAGCAAATCTAGATTACAACAAATCCAGTGACAGCAAAAACAAGATAGGGAATGCATGCACACACAAAGAGGAGAATCACTGGCAGAAATATCCATTTTACCTAAACTGCTCAGCTCTAAAATGCTAACTGTTCCTTCTTACTCTTGACTGTTTCTAACACTCCTTAAAACATTTTTAAAAGTCGTGTCTCTGAAGCCATGAGCTATTGCAGGAAAACAGGGCTTGGACATCTGCAGTTGTACATTATTTATGCAACAATTTTCCCCTAGTAATGGCCTTCTGAGAAATACATGGTCAGATTCATAAAAAGGGCTCTCATTCCTGGTCCCTTAAGTACACACATTCAAACATACATCTAGTGCCTGCACAATAAAAATAAAAATGATGGATGAGGTAAGGGACTCATCTGACTGTCTAATAAACTAGATGGTTATTGAAGAGATGGGGTGTTTGTTTACCTTACAAAGCTGAGAAGAGAGTGTGTCTAGCAGCATCTAACCAAAGACTTGTGCTTAACAGTTCTCATGCTCAGCTTGCAGGGCTAGATGCAGCCAACGCGCCGCTCTGGGGATGACGCAGCCTCCCCCAGCTGCTCTCCTGACACATAACAACTCCCATTGCTATCAGAGCCAAAGGACCAAGCATCCACCACTGGGGCTGCAAGGATGCTGTGGATG